TGGACTATTGATTTTGGGAACAAGTACAATAACAATATGATTAACATATTCAAAATTAGTTTGATCATTTAAAATACTTAGATATAGTATTACAAAATCATCACCTAAAATATTCCAAAAAGTACGATAGAAAGATCCAAACATACCATATATAACAGGGGCTTTAGAGGGGTTGACTTAAGAAAAGACAATGAGGACTTCTTCGGCAGTAAAGCTTCGGCTGAGCAAGGCGTTATCCTCAGGGGTGACACACCTATCGATAAGTTGAAGGATTGCATCCTCTGGTTCAACTCTTGAAGATTGAAAGAAAGAGGAGAAGTATGAGCAATGTCAAAGATGTCGTCAGGTTGATCAACCCAAGTTTTTTCCTCATACTCAAGCCCAATGATCTAATCCTTTTTCTGTTGGCAACGCGAGCGTGAAAGAAGGTCGTATTCCTGTCACTTTCACGAAGCCAAACAACTCTTGACTGTTACTACCAATCAGATTCATCCTTATCAATGATTTCCTTAAGTTTCGTTCTGGCTTTACAAAGATGGTTCATTGATGCATCAGAGATTGGTTCGGCTTCCATACACAAGATCTTTTCTCTGACCCTCTTCTCATCATGTTTGGCTTTCCCCTTCTTTTTCTTTGCCAAACCTTGAGACAATCACCCACAATTTGTAATTGTCCAACATAGAGCCCGTGGTATTATCCCAAGCTTTCTTAACCACCTCTCCACATTGCACCTCCTGCGCCCAAGTATCAAATTTGAAGTAGTTGCCATGGTTGCAAAGAGAGAGAGAAGGGGGAGCTGGACAACTCAAGGTAAATAGCTTCGTGATTAGAACAAGTAGTAAGGGTGGTGAGGGCACAACAGTTGGGGAATAAAAAAGGCCAAGTGGGGGATGCAACAAATAGATATAATCTTTCCCTTATGTGATTGCACGCTTTCTTGCCATTAAACCACATAAATTATCTAACATTCGGGCGAATGTCCTATAGGTCAGCAGCACGGAGATAGTCTTTGAACTCTTCCATGCAAGTATTCGACCTTCTACTACCACCCAATTTCTCTGACAAGTGTAATATTTTATTGAAATCACTACATATAACCCACGGGAGGGAGGATGCACCAGAGAGAGAGAAGATTAAGTCCCAATTTTCCTTATTTCTAGCGCAATCATGTCAAATATAAAATCCAATGAATCGAAAACAATTGCCATTTCAAATAACTTCAACATCTATGTGGAGACTCGAAAAGATAATTAAGTTAACAGAAATATCCTCTTTTCATAACAGTAGTAGCCCTACAATCCTCTGATCTTTCCACCGCAAAACAGTATGTTATCTTGGTGAGAAGTCTAATCTTCTCCACCTTATTCTTTAGCAGTTTTGATTCAAACACAAAAACCAACAAAGGTCCTTTTCGGAGATCAATTTTCGCAATTCGCAAACTGTCGACGAGTTCCCAAGCCCTCGATAGTTCCAGCTCAACACAATCATGGAGATCAGCGGGGCTGCGAGGCAGCTTCCACCGCTGGTAAGTTGTCTTCGGGTTGGAAACTCATAGGTTTGTTCGGATCTTCTTCTTCACTTGCAGCGGCCTTTTACTTCGGTTTTTTTGTTGTTGTTTTTGTCCTAATTCTTACACTTTCCACTACTAGAGGAAACAAGGTCCACCGTGGCATTCATACCAGGCTGGTCGACTTGAACGCTCTCTCTTGGCAGCTCATCAGGGAGGGAGACATGTAGTGAGTCACTCCATATATCAGAATCATTGGTTTCACCTTCAGTGCTAAACTTGGAAGGGTCATATGGATCTTATATGATGTGGTTCGTACATAGATATAATTAAAATTAGGTGGTTTTATATATCTAGATTAATCAGTCTATTGATCGGATACCAGTGATTAATTTAGAAAATAAAATTAGGTGGTTTTAGAACTCATGTAATGGATAGGGACATTTTAGTCTTAAAAAAGGGAGTAAATTGGGTTGGGAGGGTCGCCCTTGCCTCTGCAGTACCTGATCCGGATTAATCGATCAATAAATCAAATATCAGTAGTTATATAAAAAAATTATTAGACTAATTTATAATTAATATAAAAAATAAATTTAAAGTTATAATTTTATTTTCAGAGTAATTTTCGTACGATGTAGTGATATTGTCAAGTAAATCTAATTTTACTTGATAAGAATAAGAATTATATATATATTGTGTTAGATCAAATCAAATACATATTTTTATCTTAAAAATGAATATGATATTTTTAAATCTGGATCAATTCTACGATAAATAAAAAAGTATAATATTCAACTTATATTTGGGTCTATTAAAAATCTAACTCAAACTGATATGATTTACAAAAACTTTTTGCGTGTTGTTCGTACTAATAAATTATATAAATAATGTACAAGTATACACAATCGCAATAAGTAATATAATGATAAGTGAGTATTGTCCTCTGGAATTGGTATAAATTATGAGTTTTACCACAACATTATACTAATTTATCTAAGTATAGAAATGATATATACACTGGTGATGTTTCAGCAATGGAGATATGAGGGTGAGTGGAATGATGATAAAGGAATGTGATTGCGTCGTGGCAAGAGAACAATTTATAATGAGAAATGATAAAAATGTCAAGGTAATGTAAAATGGTAAAAATAGCAAATATATGGAATAGCTTGATAATCCTCACACGGGAAACTACTTGGGGAATGAATGGTGGGGAGTCACTTAAGGAGATGAAAACTTATTTTTCTAGCTGTTATAGTATTCTAATGTTCTCTTGTTCGACGGAGTTTTTCACGACATCTCCTCCAGTCTCAACTATGGCAACCTACACTATTGAAGATGCACTACCCCTCTTATTCGTTGAAATCCTAGCTTAGTCTCTCTCACATACTAAGGGATTAGGCTATAGTGATTAATTATACACATTGCTTATGTTAACCATACTTAAGTTTCTCTCAAATACTTAAGAATTAGTGACTACATATCTCTCGAACATCTAGTCTTCAATGAACCCCACCAAATATAGCTTAGTTCATAGTGGTGTTCGAACAACCCATGGAGTATACTCAATCGTTCATTCTAAGGGTGTTCAGATCCAATCCAATCAAAAAAAATAACAGAAAATTGATAACCGAAAAAAAATTGAAACTGATTTAGTGTGTTTGATTTTTTTTTCCACAAAACCGATCGGTTCGGTTTCGGTTTTGGAAATCCAGAACTGATCCGAACCGAACCGAACCGATATCTATTACAATGAAATTTTTCCATATTTTTTGTTTTGAACATCTAACAAATATAAAGATTATGAAACACTTTTAGGATTCCGTTGTAGTCTAGTTGGTCAGGATTCTTGGCTCTCTCTCACCCGAGAGACTTGGGTTCAAGTCCCGGCACTAGAATATTTTTTTAATAAGTATTGATGATAGTATGCTGCAGCATTTGATTCAGCCATGCTTGTATGGATGTGGAGAGGGAAGCTTGAATGAATAATTTATTGAACACGCTAGCCGTCCTAAAACCTCGTTACTTTTTCAATTTTAATCTAATTTACTACCTCTTCAAGACAGGGAAAACTAAAGCCATTTATAAGCAGAAGGCAGAGGCAGAGGAAAAGAAGAATTGGAGAGTTCACTGAGTTGTATTAATCGACAAACTGGCCTATGTAAACATTTCATTTCTAAGCATTTTAATGAAAATATGATTCTCAAGTATTGTGTTTTTTCCTGCACATTGTTTGTTCATCAAGATTTTTTTAGAAACATCCAAACTAAATCAAACCGCACTTAATTGGATCGGATCGGATCGGATCAAATTTTTTTTAGAAACATCCAAACCACAAACATTTATACTCTCAGATCGGATGAAGTTTTATCCAAAAACCGATCCAAACCGACCGCGAACACCCCTAGTTCCTTAAAACCCAAATAAAATTTGAAGCTTTAAAAATATAGCAAAGGTTGGAGGAAAAAGCATTAGGTATGCACGGTCGACACTTCCTTCAAGCCACCACGAACGACTATATCGCAAGCTCCTCTTGAATGTTACACTACTCCCTCGAGCTTCACCAATGGAGGAACACCAATAAAAAATGGAGAAAGAAGAAAAAAAGAGCTACTGTGCATTAATGGAGGTAGAGAAAATGGAGACGATAATGATTTTCCTGATTTCGTCTCTCTTATGAGGTGTCCTTATAAATAAAATATCTAAGGATATTCTTGAAAAATTTTACACTTAAAATACCCATCATATCCCCAAATTCATTCCTTGTGCATAAAATTTATCTCTATATGTGACAGTGGATCACATTCAGACGGTTACCAACAACAAACACGTGCTTTGATAGTTGTCATCTTGTGAAAATATCTCTTTGTATTTTTCTACGTCATAAATACCAAGACATTGTAGTCTGTTTCAGCAATATGTGATGTTGCGACTTTCTTCTCAGCTTGCCTTATGCTCCTTGTTACTTGCACATCACTAATCAACCACACATTTCCCATCATATAACACCTTAACAAAGTAAAAATAACACAACCACCACAAATGCAACTACATGAATCTAAAATGACCTATATGAACCCTTAGACAAACAATAATTTAATTGAAAAATGCCTTAAAAATAACCTTTTTACAGTGTTATCATCTATTTTTTAAGTTTTAAATAGAAATATATTGTATCATCTTATTAAATTAATTTATAATTATTATAAAAATAGATTTTGAGTTATAATTTTATTTTTGGACCAATTTTCTAAAATAGAGGGAGATTAACAATTAAAAAATAAATATTTTTCTTATTATTAATTTAAAAGAAATAAAATATTCCAAATATATATATATATATATATATATATATATATATATATATATATATATATATATATCGTGTTGTTAAAAAAGGAAAAAGGAAAAGCCAAAAATAGGCATGCAAATGCAATGGCGTTGGAAATGGGAAGCTTTTGAACTTAAACCATCCCCTCCCATGGCATCTCCACCTGAAAAAGCGGTCAACTCTCGATTTTCCCGTTGAACAAACACCCCCTTTGCCGCCAATCAAAACTTCCCCCCCCCCCTCCCATCCTCTCACTTTCATTCTTCGAGATTTTCCCACCGTTCACACACATCTCCCTCTCTCTTTTCTTGATTGTGGATAAGCCCCAATTCAAACAGAACAAATCGTTGCTTCAACAATCAAGGATCGAAAGGGTTTTCGCCCTTTTTCTTTTGATTTTATCCCTCTTGATCCCCCCAAATCGTCAGTTGGTATCAAAAACCAAAAGTCTTGATTTCTTCGGATCGCAAATATCGTTAAAGGGGAGGAGATTCTGAATCGAAAATGGCGTTATTGTGAATGAGAACATTCACCGCTCCATCGTCTTCTTCTCCAGCTGATGCTTCATTTTCGTTCGATTTCATATTGACATTGCCAAAGGATCCCATATTACTTACACCAGATATGAAGGGTCTTCTTAAAGGTTTAAGAAACCTTCACAATATGTTTGGTGAGTACTTCGAATGATTCGAATTATGTTTAACTCGATTAATTCATATAATCATGTTCGATGAGTTTCGACAGTGACGTGTCTTAAAATTATAATTTGAATGAGTCTAGTTATACTAATCATGGAGAGATTTGACAAATTTTGGATGCAGATGAAAAGGAACAAGAAATGCAAATAGGGAATCCTACGGACGTAAAGCATGTTGCTCATATCGGTATGGATGGTCCTGCTGCCAGTAAGCCTAGCTGGGTATGATGTTCTCTTTTCTATCTCATAGATGAGATATCTTTCATGTATTACGTTCTTATAAATTGATGTTACCCGACATGAAAAGAATGAGTATAATTCTGAATTAGATCGAAAATTACGTAGAAAAAACGAAGAAAAATAACTGGTTTTCCCAATTCATGCAGATGAATGGGTTTGATTCAGCTCAAGAGCTCTCATCCCAAGCTCTAGCCAATGATCTACAAGATGGGGATTTAGGTTCGTTCGTCTTTTGATATTCTTAAAATTTTGTAATTTCGTATTATATATTTCTAATATGAATATTCAAACTTTTGATTTAAAATTGTACGTCCGTCATCGGTTAGACGATAAAATATTCGATGAAAGTTGGACGTTTACCGTGTTTTTGCCCCCTTTTACAAGTAATGTCACAAAGGTGATTTTGGTGCAGGAAATCATGAGACATTGCCACCAACCGAGAAGCACAAGAAATCGAGGCGCAAAGCATCAATAGAGAACGGCACAGATTATGAGTCTGTCAAAGACGGCGAGAAGGGCGAGAAGCATAGACGCCACCGGTCGAACCACTCGATGGAGTCCCCCGGTCGGGAGTCATCTTCTTCCCACGGGAGACGCCACTCGAATCGCAGCACCAAGGGTGAATCCGCCGACGTGCCCGACCTCCCGAAGAAATCCCGGAGGAAGAAGTCGAAGGCGTCAGAGGGGGGGTCTTCATCATCAAGATCAAAAACTGGTTCTTTGCCTGATGTAGGTGAGCTTGAATCTTAAAAGAGAAGAAACGGCAAAACCAACGTGATACGGGCAGCCCATGCATGGTTTTTCATGGCTCAACAGCACCAGAAAATATAAAAAGAACAATGGGATTTAAAACACAGGGATTTCTTGAAGAAATCACATTCAGATTTATTTATTTATTATTATTACTTTTTTGATAAAAAGAAGGCTATTATACCTTCACTGTATTGACGATTGTTAGAGTTGTACGATCGCTTTGAAAATTTTAAAGCAACAATAGTCAACTATCAAGTCTTCAATAAATTCATTATGGTATCTCTTTAAGTTTTTTTTCATTTTTTTAATAACGAATTATATATGTTTTCGATTCGTTATATTAAACTCAATGAATAATTCTTTTTTAATAGAAGTCGCAGTCTAATTTAAAAGTGAATAATTAAAATTACCATAAGAGTTTACAACTATTATCGTATTTAAATATATAATTTAGATATTTTATTATAACATTGAAACTAACCACTTTAGATCATATAATGATATGCATGGAAAATGTTAAAAACTCAACCAAAAGACTCGAAAAAAAAATAGATACAAGCAAATTTGACTGCATCGGAAAACAAATCACAAGAGGTGATTAAGCTATTGAAAGACCACCAAGAACCGCAAATAAAAGCCAAGCGTCGTGAGAAACTATCAACGATTGTAAAATCGTATATCCAAATTCAATTCAAGGTTCCATAGCAGGAAGATCATCTGGATTATAAAGAAGCGACATCTTGATCAATCGTGACGTCGTCAAATCTAATCCTGAGAAAATATATAAAAAAATAGTCAAACACCCGAAAAAGAATACGAAAAATGTGACACAAAGACAGAGAAAAAAATGTGTTGTTTAGTTTATTTTCTGGTATATCAACTGCATGCATGCTTATAACTTCCTCCACGTTGCCATAATGCCATGTATTGTAATCAGAGGTGGAGTTTGAGGTTTATTTTTTAGTTTTTATTATATTTAAATATTATGCGTATTTTTTAAAATTAAATTTTTTAAATAGTATAAGGAATATATGTTCAGAATCTTTTTTAATTATTAATAACATATTTTATAAAAGTAACTGTCATCTCTAAAAAAAATAACACTTCATTTAACTATTAAGATTATTTAATGGATTCTTAACGTGACAGGTTTACATTGATAGATATAACAATCGATATTCCTCGTGTTCTAAAGAAGACGTTGATGGAAGCTATGGAGAAGGTTTGTAAGAATGATATATAGCTTTTATCGGCATTACTGTTGAGAAAACTAGTTATTTCCCGCATGAACGTAGTTATAAAATTGGTCTGAAACGTTAAGACTAAAACTACCCAAAATTACACATTAGACAAATCCGTCAACTATGGAATATTTATACACAATGGAAAAAACTCAATAATAAAAATACAAAATAGATAATGGAAAGAACACACCAAATTTACAATGTTCAATAAAATATCGTCTACTCCTCGAGCATCACCAACAGATGATAACTTTACTATTAACAAAATATTATAATAAATGAAATTCTTTGGAATTCTTAAAATATTACAAAGTGGGAGAATAGAGAAAAAACAAATGGGAGAGATAATTTTCAAAATGATTTCAGATGAAGATGGATAAACCTATTTATAGTTGAGCTAAGGACTAAATTTATAAATAGCCTAATAGTTAAGAAATCAAATATGAATTTTTTTTATGTGCAAAAGTTGGCCACTGGCCTACTTGCCAATATTTGGTAGCCACTTGTCAATTTGAACTTTTTGATGCATTTAATTTTGCATCCACCTTTGACTAAAATGATTGTCATCTTTTCATCTTTGGTGGTAGCAAAGCTGAACTTTAATAGTATTTGTCAATTTTGATCAATGTTTGTCGACTTTTCAAACTTGTAGTCTTTTACAAGCCACGCAGATAACAGTTGCAGTTTCGTTATTCAAAACCAGGTTTTCATAAAGTAATAAAACACCGTCCAATGCAATGTTTTGCATTTGGTTCAATGATTGATGTATGATTTATGGGCTTTAAACAAAAGAAAAAGAAACAAAGAAATGAATGATAAGAGTTACATGTACCGTAGCTGTTTCTTGCCCTGTAAAGAGCTGCAAAATCCTTGCATCCTACTCTTACCCGTCGTTAATCTTTAATGCAAATGCTCATTGTTGATCTGCTGCAATTGTGAATCCACTTGATGTCTCTCTACTCTATACATCGCCAAGATTTATGCTGCGTCAGTGGTTTCATCAACAGCCGTTGCTGGCGGTTGAGAGGAGGATGCAACTGATGCTTTTGTAGCATTTGGATTGTACCTCATAAGCACCCTTTCTTTATTTTTGCTCCACCATTCTTCAGCCTCTTGCTCCTTAAACCGTCGTTTGCTGCAAAAATATCAGACTCATTATACAATATATGCTAATCAATCTTGGTTTTTCAGTGAAGTATCTGAAAAACAATTTGCTTCTACGGATTTGTATATATATGTTGATGGAGCAGTCCGGTATAGTTTTGGTGTAGCTCATCATACAGGAAAAAAGGAATTAGTTTCTGCAGAAGTCAAGTACCTGAATCTAACTCGTCTGAACATCTTCCCTCCATTCCGGTGATAAACAAAAGTAACATAGACTCCAGGTTCGAATTGCTCGGTAATTTCTTCACCTCTAGCTGCTGCAGCCTCTCTGGAACTTCCACCATCATTGGTGTACACATTATCTTCTACCCTCTGATTTTCCGTGGTTGCTGGCAGAAAAGAATCAGGTTTTCCATGAGTGCTTAAGAAGGCTTCAGCTTGAGTATTCATAGCTTTAAAGGTTTCACTCTCTGAAACCTCAGAAGGCAACTTCTCTGTTAGTTCCTTCAACTGTAGAACAGTATCAAATTGTATTTATCAGTAGGTGTCATTGTAGATGGTACATCTGGTGGCAAACTGAAAATTAAGTTGAATTAAATGTACCTGATCTATGATAGATTTAACTACTTCCTTCGCCTCTTTAAACTTGGATGTTTCTCTTAGAGCATATGAAGCGGATTCTTGAGCGGTTTTCCGTAGTTTCTGAATCTCCACATCTTGTGTATCACACTTCTGCTTCAAACATTTTACCTGTAATCGTTCGAAAGTAGAGAAAAGCAAATTAGTTTTGATGGCAGGCTGCATAGGTAATACAAATAGTGTAATGAGCATAATAGAACAACAGATACGTATATCACTAGTACTTGATTTTGCAGTTTTGACACTTCTTGGTTCAGATGTTCATTTGACTTCCTGAGGCTTTCAATAACATTCTTCGAAAATGTATTTGTGCCTCGTGGAGGACTTGGTCGTCTCGAGTATGGTGAACCAGATCTAGAGTTCAATGGGGAATGAGATGGTGACGCTGCCGGAGATGTTGCCGGTCTAAAAGCAGTTTGAAAAGGAACTAATGAACTCGGAAGTGTAGACTCTCTAAGCTGTAAAGGTGAAGGAACTTGGGAAGCTCGCATTTGAGAAGCGTCGATTCTGGGCCCAGGTTTTCTTGTCATTATCTCCAAGTATTTGACCAGTTCTCTGTTGGGAGAAAGCAAAAGCCTGGAAGACCTTATCTCTACTCTCTCTGATTTTTCCCTGCTATCAATTGAAGACCGTGGAGCAGCAGATTTTTTCATCAAAAGTGAAGTATTACCAGCTTCAGCAGATTTAAGTTTTGCATAGCAAGCATCACAAACACGGTGAGGTTTTCCTGGAGTGGGAGCCAATGCTGCTTTCAATGCTTTCTTGGAACTGCAAGCATGGCAGTGCACCAGTCCGCAATTGTAACAGTTGTGCCTCTTCTTAGTAAATCCAAATGCTTGCCGGCAGCCAGAGCAAACTGACTGATCGACACCAGAGATCCATTTATGCATACATATACAGGAAGTGAAGTTCGAACCACATGATATATTTTTTATATGCCCATCCTTCAATGCTTCAACTAATGTTGGGGTCCTTCTATCTTCTATGTCACCATGTCCCAGTCTTCCGTTGGCACCTCTTCCCCATGTGAATATTTCACTTCTTGATGTCAGTACAGCAACATGACATGCCCCACAAGAAATTTCTTCGACAAATTCACCTACCAGTTTATCTTGTACCAGGCATGGTAATTTTCCATCAGAACTCGGGTTGCCTAGTTGACCATATGCAGTACCACCCATGGTGAAGACATGACCTGATGTTGTAAGTGCCACCGTAATAGTATGTCCACAAGCTAGCTGGTGGAAGTTGTAGTCAATGAGCGAAGAGACGCAGGCTGGAAGTAGGTAAGTTTCCTTACTTCCATGACCTAGACGGTGTTTATCGCCATCACCCCAGGTGAACAACTTTCTTGATGATATGTTAGCGCCGGATTGGCCTGAAACCTCAACAATAGCTGCGGTATGCCATACCCCACATGCAACTCTAACAGTCTTTAGTCCATTCAACATTTGAACTTCTTTTGGATATGCAGCGTTTTCCCTATCTCCATGGCCCAAAACACCAAATCTTCCATCACCAAATGTAAACAGCTTGCCATTAGAGGTTGCCAGAGCTGAATGCCAAGTGCCACAAGCGATGAATAAGACTTGCAGTCCTTCTAATGCACCACAGACTCTCTTTGGGATCCAGTGGCTGACATCAGTACCATGAGCAAGGAGGCCGGCATTATAAGTACCGTCACCCCAAGTGAATAAATCACCAGCTGAGGATACAGCACATGTATGATATTCTCCGGATGCAATGAATTCCACATTAGTTGCTGCCAGTAACTCAACTAATTGGGGATGGTTAAAGTCTTTTTGAAATCCATGGCCAAGTCTTCCACCAGATTCCTCACCCCAGGTAAAAACTTCACCCTGCTTTGTTACAAGAGCAATATGTCTAACTCCGCAAGCTATCTGATGAACATCAAGTACTACATTTGATTCCAAGGGCTTAGGAGTTAGTACATCAGTTTTTAGACAAACTGAGCTTGCAGTCCCATCTGATCCGTCAGACCATACTTCTCCCCACATGTAAACATCACCTAATGATTCTATGTCATCTGGACCCCCAGATCCACCACTTGAACAGCTAGGACTGCTTGAAACACTAATTCGGAAACCATCTGCACCAGTAGATCTCAACTGCATAGTTGCACGTTCTGACCCCGCATCTGAGCTTCCAAGATCAAAAGATGCAACACTACCGGAAATACTGTCGCTGAACTCTAGAGCACCAAACAGGGGACCATTCAGCTGTCACAAAAGACATGGAAGTCAGCCAGTAAAGATTCAAATCTAAAGAACAGGCAACAAATATAGCCATAAGATCTCTGGGCTTTTGTAACTACAATGAACACTCACGTTGTATCTATCGTCCAACAGATCATACCAAATGCAATTTTATGTCGTTAGTGATTCATTAGTATAAATATGTTATGTTGTAAGTGGATTTTCCGACAAATACCAGTTCAGTCTGCTGACTCAATACATGCAACAAGTGACTTATCATATGCATATGTATGTAGAAAGCAGAACTTACATCACTAAAATCACTTTTGGTTCTTCTGTTTCGATTCTGTCCAATCAATGCCTTAAGACCTGCTAACCACACTTCAGCCTCGGCTTTATCCTTGCAGATCTATGAAGGTAGACAACAGCAATCACTGGATTCAAATTTACCATTCAGCTGAATATAAACAGATAGCAGATCACCCAATAACTGGTACTAACCAAGTCGAGAGATCTGTCACCGTTGTTATATAGAAGTGAAAATGATAAGTGCTCCTTTTCCGGGCGAAAAAACCTTCTAAAAACAGCCTGTAAAAGTTGGAAAAAACCTTACTGGAATCTTGGTGGTATGATATAAAAAAGAAGGCTAATTATGCTGCAACATTCACCATTAACTGGAAAGATGAAAAGCAGAAATTAAACTTACAGTTCGCTGTCCAGTAACGATACGAGAGACGGTGCTTAGTTTCAGATTCTTCTCTGCTCCATGCGACAACCATATTAATGCTGTTTCATCCTGTTAATACAGCTAAAACTGAAATCATATATGCACTTAAGATAACTGAGAGAGATAACTTCATTTGCGCTTTTCTATTAATAGCTGCTGCTTCCTAGGAAAAACAGCAGAAATCAGGAAATAGAAGAGAATCCACTTGCATATCTGTATATGCATATATACAGTTGTTCTTCAAGTTTAAGATGTCAGCCATCAACTAATACAGTTACAATTAGGACCTTGATTCACATATTATTACAACTCCAAAGTGCTAAAACTGGATGATTGTACTGCAACAAGTTCATATTATAGAACTACGAAGGCCGGATAATTACGTTACTCCGACTTTTGATTTTCTCTGAAATACTCATGTCCAATGCATATCTAAACATGATTATGAGATACGACCTTTCGAAAATCCTTATGTGAAGATACATAGAAAAAAAAATGAACATATCCATATAGGGCACATACATCAGCGAAAGTACCAACCAGGTGGTCCAGGTCCATGTCTCAATGTAATGAGATTGAAGAGAACTTTACTCACCGGAGAAAGTCTGAATGCTCGAAACTTGGGTTTTCCTTTACGGCTATACTTGATAAGCCGAGTGCCTTTTTTCAAAGCAATAATCGCCTTCAAAGCAAAGGGTAAGGAATTAAACGAAAAACACAGAACAGTAGATCAAAAGCTTTAGACATATAGATGAAACAAAGGTTGATAATGGACTCTTCATGAATGAGACAATCGATATGTTTTTTTTTCCCTTAGTACCTTGTCACGCACAAGACCCATCCAAATGATATGTAAACCTTGTGTTATTTTTTAAAATAAAGCTCCTAAAATATTTTATAATAAAATAAAATTATAAAATATCAAAATTATCATTCTAGGATTGTTTCTTATTAAAAAAAGTCAAAGATATGAAACTATGATAATGTTACAAAACAACTTTATAGTCACGACATTTCATTTAAAAAGTACTATTTTCTTAACGTTCTTAGAAACAAAATCATGTAATTTTTTTTAAAGTGTGACTCCCAAATTTTGAGGTCCTATAACGTGTCATAAATCACACTTGTAAATAGGCGGTACACATGACCAATGTACATTTGAATATTTGTGCAATGATACCATATTTTAATGACTTTTTTTAAAATAAAAAAAATCGAAACACTTTTTTACATTAAATGTGTTGAAGGATCTTTCGACTACGCGATCGGCCGAGATCTCCAACTATTAAATATTGTTAGATCAATTATAGTAAATTAAAATAAAATGTTTAATCAATTAGAAACCATATATACATCGAGCTTGATTATATTATCGAATCCATATAATCGTACTCATCATTCATATACAACTAAAGCAAATGTCAAATTCTATAGATCTTATCGTATCCGAAAAATCTTTCAAGGATCCATAATCTCGTTCGAATATATGTATGTAATACTATTAAGTCCGAAGAATAACAATTCAGATTAAGCTTAAACAAACATGAAAACAGAAGAGAAAGAAGGGGAAGGAAGAACACTTGCTCAACGTCGCGTTCAGAATTGCCATGGCGAACAAGATCTGCCATTCCATTTAAAAGAACCCAAAGGAAACCGCCGGAAACAAAGGCGCTCAATCATCAGGTACTGAAATGGCGACTCCCTTGACCACCTTGTCTTCATAGATGATGCATGCGGCCTTTCATCTACAGATTCAATCCCCAGATTATACCTTCATTCCAGAAAACAGACAAACACTACTTTTTGATCGTCGAATAATAACCCCCCAAAGTTCTAAAATCAGAAAACATGATCACAGCGGCTAATTTGTTTGGAATTTTCTTTTGCATTTCGTGTGTTTGTGAATTGATTTGGTCTGTAAATGCATCGGAGAAATGAGAAAAACAAAGAGTGAGGGAGATGAGGCGAAATGAGAGGAGAGTAAGCGGTGAAAATGTTGAGACATTCCCGCTCTCTTTTTCCTACTTCCATGGTTTCTTCGTCTCCTTTAACTAATTGGGTAATTACATCTTTTATCCTCAGTTTACTCTATTCACAAATATCAGGTCTTAATCTCTTACCTTACTTAAAGGAATTTAGTGTATTATCTCAATTGATCAATTGGTCGTTGGTATTAAATTAAAAGGTATGTTTGCTTATTTTAGTAATTTAAAAGGTAGTTTGTTTTGGCAGGTTGACAATTTGCATAGTGGTGGTTGACAATTTACCATCAAGATCGCTTGTTCGTGTTTAATTATACAATCGATTGTTTGAGAATGAATATACAAAAGTTGCCTTAAAAAATCATGGATCAAAAGTAGAGGAAGAAATTGTATATAAGCGAAGAATACAGATGCTGATATCATAATTAAACCAAAATGAAATCCGGATCTGATTATTATGAACCAAAATGGAACACCCGGATCTGGTTCATGCCCTTCGTTTCCGGGATCATCTCACGGCTCACAAACATGGGATCTCGAATCAAGTTGTGAGGACGAAAAAAAGAAATAAGGGTTTCGCTTCATTTGTTGGGCGAGTCTTCTTCGCTTCAATTTTCCTTCTATCAGCTTGGCAAATTTAATCATTCTCTCGCTCTTTTTCCCGTTAAATCTCACTGAATTTACTTGTTGGGTTGTTTTTGAATTATGTTTATTTCATAGATTTGGGTATTTTCATTGGTTTGTATGTCTGGTTAATGATGATTTCTATAGGCTGAACATTGTTTTTCTTTTCTTTTTTCCAACCTTTTAATGTTTATGTTATTTAGTTTAGATGTTGTAATTTGCAGTGTAGGACACTGGGTTAGAAAACAAAAATATAATTAAATGGTATGGAGAACATTTTCTTCTTATTTTTGGTTGAATAAACCTAAAATTTTCCACCTTCAGATCTAGGTGGATGGTTCTAATGAAAATGATTTGTTTCAAGTACACTTCCTGGAGATCCTCTCATTTGGAGAAGATGAATCTAAGTGCCGATGTTGCTTTGATTGAAATATGACGTATATTTTCCGATAGGGGTATGTCGATATGCCTCTCCAATTGCACTAAAGAAGTAATTCTATGTCAACACTTGCAGTCGAGTCCAAGTAACATAGTTAAGTACGGTAAAGCGGGCGGTGGTAGATATGAAGCGATGGATTCTTCTTGTTGTCTAATCTTGTAGTTGATTCAGTGCCTTGAATACCTGAATGTTTTACCCCAATCCCGTCGTCACTGTCCTGTTTTGGATGGTATAGTTCTGGCGATAGGCCGTTTAGCGAGTTTTACTCCACTGTTGATACATGGTTGACTTATTGCGCCTATACTGATATGTGTAGTTAGATTGTCGAAAGAGCTCAACTGGACGTCTTGTAGTTACGGTGACGGTCGATATGTTGGCAGGTTCAATGAATTCATGGTCGACGGAGGGCCTACAGCGAAGGAGTTGATACCAAAGCTTGATCTTGCTAAGAAACATATATCTTCGCAACTCCATGTAGGTTTGCCGGATATCAATGTAAGATATTCCTTCTCTCTTATTCACTTGTAATGAATTTCTTTCTTTCGTGGAATATTAAGTTCGTGTTAATATGATATACGATTTTCATATTGTGGAGACCTTTCGTAAACACAGGTCAAACAATAAGTTTCTGCCGCTATCGCTTTGAGAGGACTTGGTACTATTCTATTTGTATTTGGCCATGGCTTTGGAGCCTTCCTCCTGGTGAGATTTTTGTTTCTTAAGAGTAATCATTTTGTTTCCATTTGAACTGTGAAGTTAGACAATAATTCCACCCGAGCAGTTTCATTTGATTCTACTATCATTTCTCGTCTAATAATTCTTTCCTTTTCCGTAGATCGTGTATTTGCTGGTTAGCACTCCTCTTCTCTAGGACTTCTGCAACTATCTACCCGAAGAGCCCCAGTACACTGTTCTGCTCAGTGATTTTCTGAAGGTATTTGCATATTCATATCTGAAGTGTTTCCCTATGCATTGTGAAATACGACATGCTAACTTCATTGATTCTTTCGTTAATGGCAGCGTGTTGCGCAATGCTGTGCATTATTGTTCTTCTGGGGGATGAAGAGCTCGATAACAAAGAGGCAACTAAGGAATAGAGTCCCGAAGCCGAAAACTGCTTAGATATATCAAAGAGGTAGCAGGTGAAGATTATTGATTTGCAGTGACAGGTAATATTTTGCAGGATTATCCGTTACTGAACCGAATTTTAGTAGTTAAGCTGATTTTAGTTATTTATTCCCTAGAATATTCGAAATTACGTTTGAGAATTCGAATCTTTTCCCTTCGATTTCGAGTTTAAAAGTAACGTTTGACTGAATACTCTAAATTTTTCATTGGACTTTTTAGTGCTGAAATCATGGTCGCTCTGGAAGACAGTTTATAAATTGCTTATTGATGTTATGTGCAGCCGGACCGGAAAATATCAGGTTTACCGGCTCCGGTTTCTCTATTTGCCATTTTCATGTTAGATGATCTTTTTGCAGAGAGGTATTTACTCGATTTCATTCATCATTCTATCGTCAGTTGTTTTCAAATAATCGAACACAGCGTTCATCCTATTGGATCGATTAGGAAAAATGTGAATCCCATATTCCCATAAAGGGTTTGAGGAGAATCTACAGTAAAAGTACAATATCAAATTAAGGAAAAAAATTAGGACCGAAATGAAAATTATAAAAATTGTCTAAAAAGAATAAACACGTGTTTCATGTTAACCCGACGTATTTTATAGGATCAGATTTTCTTTTTAGAAGAATTGGATTTAGATCGAATTTAAATTTAAGATGAAAAATTTTAGATCCACCTTGAAATAGTAATATACTTTTATTTTATATGCTTAAGAATAATTGTTATAATATTATTTTCTTAGCAAAAGTAACTATTTTCTTAAGGAAAGGGTTATTTTCGTTTTGAGAAAATAACCTCAGTGACCAAAAATACTTTATAATATACGATTTTAATCAAATTTTTTTGGATTTGCCAAAATGACCAACTAAATCGCAATGCGATCGATAATTCGCAACGCGATCTCCGGTATCGCAAATCGGTTTCTAGATTCGCAACGCGATTCTAATTATCGTATTGCGATTTTCCAAATTCGCGTTGCGATTTTCTGACTATCGCAATGCGAATATGTAAATCGCAATGCGAATATGTAAATCGCAATGCGATTATGACTATCGCAATGCGATTTTGACTATCGCAACACTGAATTTCAAATTCGCAACGGGTTTTAGTTTCACAACACAAATATTTTGGGTATATAACTACGCAGCAGAAGCAACTCATAACCTAAATCCTTAAATCGCAACTCATTCCATCTCCATCTATCACTCTCTCCGACGACATCCGTTCTTATATCCAAAGACATCATTCCTCATCCGGCAACAGGTTTTAGTTTCGCAGCTCGTTTGTTTAGTAAATTAATTTACAATAATGAAATCATCAAATGTTGATCATGTTTTGATAGATTTGTGTTTTCGAGGGTCATGGGAGAATGTTCATGGTGTTTTACAATATATGCCTTTACCCATGAATCTTCAACTAAAACTGTCATTAAAAAAGTTAACTTATTAAACTCTAATGTTACGTGTAGCAAATAAATTGAATTTAGAGTCTTTAAGTGGATTTAGGCTATCTTATCAGAGAAAATGTAAAATTTATTTGTTAATTGACAATGAAGATGTTGAACGATTCATTGCTTACATTAGTGTTTCGCAAGATGATGTTACATTGTATGTTGTTGAACCTAGAAGTAGTGAAGTTGGGTCAGTAGCGGGTAGTAATCAACTAAGTTTTTCAACCCCAGTTTATGGTGCTCAAAATTTAATGGTTCTACCACAATTTCATCACCAAGAAAATTTTGTTTCACCACATTTCCAATACCAAACACAATCTCAAAACCCACAACCTTTTCCTAATCCAAATTACAATCAACTTTTAGCACCAAATTCCGGTTTTCGTATTAACCAGTTAGACGATGATGAGCAAACAGAAAAAATTGTGAGTACTAGTCGGTATTCGAAATTTGATCTTGGTCAATACCCGGACTTTGATCTTGGTCAATACTCGGATTTTGATGATGTTTCAGAAGAAGAAACAGACCCTGCGTGTAATGATTTTGATATTGATCAATACCCGAATTTTGATGATGAAACAGTCACTGCCGAGGAAGATGTTGTTGATGATAATGAGGAGGAAGTTACGAATGTGAATGAACATGTTGAACATCCATTATGTAATTCATATAACTCTGAAAAAGAAAAAGAAGAAAAAGAAATCCCCGAAAAAAAGTCTCCGAAGAAAATGCCACGGGAGTATAACTGGAATATGCCAGAATTACTTCAGATACCGGAAGAATTGGTAAAAATAGCAGTTGATTGTTACACAAAAATTATTCGTATCAAGAAAGATGATTGTTTTGATACAAAGGAAGACTTGAAGATAACTTTGTATACGAAATGTGTGGAAGATGGCTATCAACTAAAAGTTAACAAATCAAGCAAAGATCGTTTCGAAACAAGGTGTATGATTGACAAAAACTGTACGTGGCGTATGATTGCAAAGAGGATAAAAGATTGCGAAATGTTTCAAGTTAGGACTTTTATTGATAAACATACAT